ATATTAAAATGCTTCTTTTAGATGTTTCTTTGGGCAGACTGCAAGCTACTCTAAGCAATTTCAAAGTGAGTCTGTCCCCAGACAAGGTGGGACAGAATGAACTTCCTCTCATTAACATACTGTGTTTCTAAATCTTTAACTCTTTCTTAGGACAGACAGTGTTCAAATCTAGTTTACAACTTACAATGAGATCTGCCAGCAAATGACACACAGGTTTAATTGTGGTAAACATTCACTCCCTACCCCCTCCATAAAATGATAAAGATGGAAAAACTTTTCTGGGTTTGTCCAGAAAAGAGCAAGTACCATGGTATTTTTGCGGTCTAGTTCACACCTGAGCGGTTTTCTGCACAGATCTAGTTGCACGAAAATGCGCAAAACACACATTTCAATGCAAGTCAATGGTGACTGTTCACACCTTAGTGTTGCGTCGCTCGTAGGAAAACGCCTGTCACACGCAAGATGGAGGAGCTATTTTCTGGTGGATGCCACGTGGTTTTGGTCCCATAGATATCTCTTTGCAGGGAGAAAAAAGCATTTTTAAGAGCAAAAAATATTGCGTCAAACTGAAAACGCCTGGGTGTGAAAAACATTCAATTGCAATGTTGACAAAAAATGGAATTTAAAGTTCAATCTCTCTGTCAAACTTGCTATGTGTATAGTGAGCATGAAGCTGCATGGTTAGATTAGGTTCCAGTGTACCTTAAAATAAATTGTGGAATTAACAAATCATTTATTGTATAAGAATTATTCCTGGTCCATGTATTTGGGGATGTGGCAGGGGCATGTTGTCTGCCTACATACTTTTTGTGCTAAAAGGTGTCCCTCTTTCTCATCTCAGAAAGTTGGGAGGTAAGCAGTAACATGCAGATGGTTGATTCTCATGACAATTTTCAGCATTTTAGTCATATTAGAAGATTACACTTAGCACAATTAGCAATTATACAGTTACATCCCCCACACCAGTTATCTGGCATCCAACCAGTAGGAATGACATTTATCTGAATGGCTACTGAATTTCCGTGATTTATAATAGAGTCAATTAATACATTTAAATTAATAAATAAATTAAAATACATTTTACGCCTAACCCCAAACAAAAAAACTACCCTTGCAGTGGGGCTACCCTTGCACTGCCACGGTTAACTGCTTCTTTATATCTAGGGATATTGTGTAAAGGACTTACTTACTTAATCACTGCTCCACCAATGGTCGGTGCTTACCTTGTCTCCCCTATGCTCCGATTTGTGGACTGTCCCTCGGCATCCTCACGTATAATGCAGGGCTATGGGCCTTGCATTAGGTGTGATCACGCTAGTGTGCCTCCATCTGCTGGAGGGTAGGGGGGGGAAAGAGGCTGCGGGTGCCAATCCAGTCTTGGAGCCTGCCGGAGTGGAGATTAGATAATCTCCCCTACACTCTGATTTGTGGACTGTCCCTCAGCATCCTCACATATAATGCTGGCCTATGGACCCTGCATTCGATGTGATGATGTTAGTGTGCTGCCAACTGCTGTAGCATAGGTGTAAAGAGGCTGCGAGTGCCGGTATTGGAGCCTGTTGAGTGGGGATTAGATCGTCTCCCCAACGTTCTAATTTGTGGACTGTCCCTTGGCTTCCTCATGCATAATGCAGGCCTATGTGTTGGAGCCTGCGGAATCGGGGATGAAGTAAGTAAAAGTCCTTTGCACCATACCCCTAGACATAAACCAGCAATTGGCTGTGCCAGTGCAAGGGTATTTAGGCTTTAAGTATGCCTCCTAAACCCATTGTTAGGTCATACTTTTATGAACTGTCTCAATACAGCTACAATTCACCTGAACATGTTTAAATGATATCAAAGCCCTCATCACTAGGCCGAGCATTGCGCAGATATCTATGTCACATGACAACTCCTTTTATGGC